AGGGGAGTACTAATAATATTAATAACGGTTTAAAGGGTATTAACCTCTTTTTAAAAAGCTTAAACGTTAATACTTAATTTTTATCTTTTAATTCGAATAACTTCGTTTTCTAGGTCTTAAATATATTAAGGGCTATTCCTAAACTACTAGATTATAATTTTAAAGTTTTAGAGCTCGTTCGCGGTATCGTTATATATAGTTTATATTTTAGCGATGTCTATATCTCCTTTTTTAATTCGTTTTTTAAGTTGTTTGTAAACGTCTTTATTAAGGGTAACCTCGTTGTTAGAGTTAATATTTATCGGGGCTATTTTTATTTCTTTAGCTAAACTTTAAATAGGTTATTTAGAGAAAGTAGAGGAGCCCGGAATAAGTAACTTTATAAAGGTACGGGAAGATATTATTCGTATTATTTAGTTAGTCTTTTTATAAAATAAATTTACGCTAAAACAAATTCATATATAAACCTCGAAAATAGAAGTAATTAAGGACTAGCCTATACTATAAAACGTTAAAGACATATAAAGATTCTTAAAATTCGTTAACTTCTATCGACGATTCCTTAAAGATTATACTAATATTATTAGACCTCTTAATAACCTAATACAAAAAAATAACCCATTTATTTAAGATTCTTAATATAAAGAGGCCTTTATTAAAGTTAAGAATATAGTCGTCTCTAAACTAATAACTATAATCTCGGACCCTCAAAAAGCTTTTAAAATTAAGACCGATACTTCAGACTTCGCTATAAAAGCAATTTTAGGACAACGAAACGAATAAAAAAAACTTTATCTATATTACTTTTACTCTAAAATATTCTATAAAGCAGAATTAAATTAGCAGATCTACGATAAAGAACTAATAGCTATTATTAAAATATTTCAAAAATAGAGACTATAATTATCCAGAACTAAGTACAAAGTTATAGTCTATATAGACTATAAGAACCTTAAAAACTTTACGACAAATAAGAATCTAAATAAATAGTAAGTTAAATAGAGCAAATTCCTATCTAAATATAACTTCCAAATCATCTATTAAAAAGGTTTAAAAAACAGTAAAATAAATACTCTTAATAAAAGACCTAACTACGAAGTTACGGTCCCTAAGAAAACTTAAATTATCTTTAAACTAAATAAGGACGGTAACCTTATACTAATTACGAAGCTTCTTATAATAACTAAAAAGATCAATATTAGCCTAACTAGAAAAATAACCCCTAAGCTTATTATAGAAATTCATAATATACCTACATACGGCCACCAAGGAGTTACTAAAACATAGAAACGGATTTACTAATACTACGATAAATCCGCTATACGTACTAAAATTACGGAAGTAATTAAGGACTGTACGATCTATAAAAAAAATAAAAACAGCCCGTATAAACTATATAGCAAGCTATAACTATTACAACTACTAACAGAAATATAGTAATTAATCTTATAGGACTTTATTATTAAATTACTAAAGTCTAAAGAACTATTTACGAATATATAGTACGATAGCATCTTAATTATAATCGACCGACTTACTAAATTTACCTACTTTATACCTTATAAAAAAGCTAGTAGCGCTAAAGAATTAGTATATACGTTCTTTAAAAACATTATTACTAATTACGGTACGCTAAAGGAAGTAATTTCTAATAAAGGCTTTCTATTTACTTTAAAGTTTTAGAGATCCCTAATTTCGTAACTTAGTATAGATCATAAACTATTAACCGCTTTCTATCCGTAAACCGATAGTTAAATAGAAAGAATAAACTAGATTCTCGAAATATATCTCCGTTATTATATAAACTACGATTAAAATAATTAGGTAGTATTATTACTAATAGCCCAATTTATATATAACAATATAGTTAGCAAAAGTATATAAGAATCCCTATTTTACTTAAACTACGGATTCTAGTTAATAATATATAGAGAAGTACGATAAGGACTATAAGCTATAAAAGTAATAATAGACGTAGCAAAACTTAAAGAACTCTAGAAGAAGGTATTTCTGGACCTTAAGTTTATACGCCAATATATAAAGAAGAATACGGATAAATTAAGGATTAAAGGACCAACTTTAAAAAAGGGAGATAGCGCCTATCTTCTTTACCGTAATATTAAAACGAAACGACTAAGTAATAAATTAGACTATAAAAAACTTAGACCTTTCAAAATTATCTAAAAAGTCTTACCAGTCAATTATAAATTAAGACTCCTAAACATAATAAAGTATCATCCAGTCTTTCATATTTTACTTCTCGAATTAGCACTTAAGGGTTCATATATAGAGGACTATATCATTATAGAACCTAACGAACTAGAATATAAAATTAAACGAATTATCAATAATAGAATTAAGAACGGAATACCAGAATTCCTAATTAAATAAAAATACTACGGATATAAGGAAAATATATAGGAACCTATTATAAACCTCTAGAATTCCCAATAACTTTTTAAGGATTATTAAAAGACGATATTAACGGTCTTAAAATCATAAACTCGTCGCTAATCCTAAAAGAAGACTAATTAATATCGTTAGGAATACTAATAGCCTAAAAGTTACTTACGACCTACTACTTATAAGCATCTAACATAAAGAGAACGTTATTTTTTTCCTTTAACTCCCATATACTATTAAAAAAAATCTCTATATACCTCTCTTTTATTTTTTTATAAATTATCCGAATACGAGTAAGGCGACCTACTACTTTAGAGACCTTAGATTATATTCGAGCTAGTTTTTTATAAAGATCGAATAAAATATTACTAGCTTCTTCTTCTTTCTTTTCTTATTCTTAACGTTAATTACTTAACCATCGTATTAAAAAAAAACATTAATAAAAAAGGTTACGACAGATAAAAATAATATATTTATAACTCGACGTAATAATAAGACCGTCGTAAGGACGCTTTAGGTTTTTATAACCTTAATACGTCTTTACGCTATTAACTATCTAGTATGGGTGCTTAATATAAAAATATCGAATATAAAATATAACGTCGTTAAAACTAAAACAATCAAATACGTCATTATAAACTAAGCAAAGTTTTAAAATGATATTTTTTAAAAAACGTTTCTTAATACGACCTAATATCATATTAATATATTACAATAAACAAACTTAATAAACCCTAACTTAGGCTATAAATACCTACTTATAGGTCTACGGGACTAGACCTTTAAAAAGGAGACCTAATATTACGACCTAATATATATAACTAAGATTAAGGCCTACCCTATAAGCTTATAGTAGCTACGGTACGACTATATATATATATATAAATAGAATATATACGTTACCTTAATAGAACGGAAGAACTATAGATTAAATTACGTAACGATAAAAAATAAAAAGATCCGTATATTAAAAATACGGATCCCGTCTTTTTATAATATAAAGCCCGTATATTTAAAATATAGAGCCTATTAAGTAAATATATAAATAAAGGATATATTTAGGAACGAGACTTATATATAGTATAGACTTGAGCCGGGCCTAAGGATAGACTTCCTATAGCTTTTTTAATAATTAACTTAGTATTAGATCTTATAATCGCTTTTAACTATCTTTATTAAAAATATTTTCTAATAAGATTATAATTAATTACCGAAGCCTTACCTACCTTACGATTTATAGATATAGCTTTAAAGAAGCTATCTACGATTACGATACTATTTACTTAGCCCTCGTAGCCTTAATTTCTGTTAATATGCTTACTACGACTAGCTGGCCGTAATATAGTCCGTCGGCCTAAGTTAGTTTAGGCGATGCATTTATGTCTAATAAAAACGTTTTGTTTAGATTAGAGTGTAGTTTTAATTAAGAAAGAACGAATAGATTAGCAAAGGTTATCCTAAAGAGGCTATTATACTTCCGCCTCTATAGACATTTATAGACCCGTTTTTAAAAGCTCATAGTACAATTTATAGAGACAAAAGCGATCAGGGGCCATTGGTATATATTAATGTACGTATCTAGCCAAAAATGGTGACCCTGCTTATCTAAACTTGCTAATGACGGGAGGTAAGCCCAGTATTAGACATTTAAAACTTCGCCGAGCCAGGCAAGGGATTCGAGACGTCCCGTGCAGACCAGTAGGGCGCAAATAATCTAGCGAATGTGTGTCTCATTATCGATCTTGTTGAATAAGAAACGACGCATTCGACGATCTTTGAGCCGGAGGACTCAACGCTGACTATAACCTTCGTCTCGATGGTTGGGACACTGAGCTCTGGACTTTGTCATGCCGGCGAAAGTCGAGGTTGGATTCGCACAAGTTGTCCCCGAACTATCTGCAGATTCGCACGTTACTAGGACCTCGCTTTCTCTGTTACACGATGAGGGGCAACCTGTGTAGGAGGTTTTGGTGGTCATGATTTTGCACATTCTTAATCGTCAGCTTACTATCAACCAGCCACGATTTTCAATCGGACTAACTTGATGTTTATCGGGTGGAGATTCTTAAAGATGAGCGCATATGAGAAGGTAACACAAATAAAATCCAAGTTGTGCCAGAGTCTTATATAGCCTCATCGTGGAATGGACCAGTGAGAGACCCGGCGGGCCCTCATTGTCGCTGACCGCTGAGACCCGCCTAGAGAGTTGTAAGAAGAGTCTCACCGGGAGATAGGCAGAGTCCTTTTCGCAAGTGAGCACCGCTGCAAGTTGGCCAACCAGAGTATCGGTCAAGGATACTGGGAATCGGACTTGCCCATTGAACTGCTTCAAAACGATAGGTGCTTTGTTCACATCACCTTCGGCGGTGCAACCTTTCTACTGGTAAAGGTCAGCTTACCATTTCCAACCTAACTTCCAACAAACTTCAACAACCCGCTTCCAATGACCCGCTTCCAACACAGCTTCCAACACAGCTTCCAACACAGCTTCCAACACAGCTTCCAACACAGCTTCCAACACAGCCCCTAATCAGTCAATCGTGACGTGAAATATCCATGCTTCGAAACACATCCTGCCGACAGGAAGGCGGAGATCCATGGCCATCAAGCCACATCAGGCTAGCTGCAGTTGGCCAACGACGCATCGGCTTTCACTCCAACACGCATCCGCCCGTCAATTTGAACAACAGCGGCTGGATCGAATCCGCCTTGCCTTGCGTCTGGCTGGACCTACAAGCTACCTACCTCATGTGAAGCGCCTCAGGGACCGGTCGCGCTTGTACGCCATTCCTGAGGAGTCCATCACTTCGGTGGGGTGGTGGGCCCTCTCGTGCTCTTGCTGAGCCTTTGACCTGCATCGGCGCTTAACCCTTGCCTAGGTTGCATTATTTACAACTTAAGGTAAGATGACCCGTAGCCGATGAGGATCTCTAGCCAATAGAATTATAGCTTGGTCCTGCAGTCTCGAGGCGGCACTGAGCCGTATATCTCATACAAACTGGCGATAGCCTGCCAACCCCTCCCCAACACAGTCGATTTCCGCGGTGTACGTTCATTCATTTTCTTTAGTTTCCACACTGAACAGCAGTCATTGAATGTGCGGCAAAAGTTGGCTTTGACCTCAACGCGCTGTGGAGAGAATGGAGCAACACGAGGATATTCCGTGGCACCGAAAGTCAAATCACGAGGCATACAACATCCGTCGAAAACCTGTCGCACCAAATACCTTCAGCTACGAGTCCATGTACCTAGAGACATCGAGTGGTGCGGCCACTAACCATGGCATATGGAGGCCTCGCGAAGAGACAAATGCCAGTACGAATGGCTTGCTGGAGACTAGGGCGAACGCAAAAATCGCTGCCAACGACAAAGAGAACAACATCAAAGAATGTGCGGGTCGAGCACCTTCATGGCGCCCGGCTTGGCTACGTCCACTTGTGCTAGCACTGTTTGCCAGCCTCTTCGTCTTTCTCTCTATGGCGCTGGCTGCGATGCTGTGGTACTCAAATACGAACAATGGACTTTTCGAAAGTCGTCAGAGTTTATTACACACTTATCTGTGGCGATTTGTGCCGACTGCATGTAAGTAGCGCGCCGTATTCTTGACTCAAGCCTCAAGAAACGACGACCAGTTCAATTGTCTAACATTTTGCTGTCTAGTTCTCACGATTTTGACCATCTTCTGGGCCAGAGTCGAGCTACAAGCTATGATGTATATGCCTTGGATCTCTCCACGATCGGGTTTCTCGCCCGGAGAAAGGGATCTAGCACTCGACTACACCACGATGTTTCTACCTCTCGTTTTCCCCCGGTCATTCCGTCAGAAGCACTATCTTGTTTTTATGGTTGCTTCAATCTCTACCCTTCTCAAGGCCCAAGTTATCCTAGTTCCTGGATTATACAGCCTCGTGGAACTCCAGATTATAAGTCCTGTCGAAATCTTCTTGCAAGATACTTTTGACTTGAACCTGATTACGGACGCTACCTACGCATTAGACCCGACTCCCTACTACCTGGCACGGGCACAAAACGACTTCGACGTGGTCCAACCCTACGGGGTCGCGGAAGGGTTTGCGTATCAAACGTTTTTCACCGGGAACGATCTTGGTCGAGGAACTGTCGCCAACCCAGTAACGGCCACCGTAGATGGGATTTTTACAGATACCGAATGCCTCAAGTTGAGCTCATACTCTATTGTTGAGCAGCACAACATCGACAACATTGAGGGCAGGGGTTACCCAGAAATGAATTTCACCGTGGCGCTTCAGTTTGATGGATGCGAAGAACCAATACTCTTCGTACACAATTGGGCCTGGCAGGAGCCTGAATTAGGACCCTACACAGATTGGGTCATGGAAGGGGACCAAAAAGTCCAACGACCCTGTTCTGGATTGCCTCTGCAAGCGCCAGCTTTCATATACTACAACGGGGCTTTCACTCTGGAGGGCGACGAGAGCTCGCCTCTAGCAGAGTATCACTCAGCGGCGGGTGTCATCTGCGAGCCGCATGCTTGGCTGTCGAAAGTTCGGGTCACCGACGATGGAGTGAAGCCGAAAGTGATGGCAGTCTCCGACGAGCGACAAATTTTGTCCACGCCAAATATTTGGACAATGATTAACATGTCGCTCCCGACCGGTGTCCGCTGGACCGGTCGAATACTTGCGGACTTAGGTCCAGTCAGTGTTGATCTTGACTTCAGGGGATACACGAGGGCCGACTGGCCAAAAAATATAACGACCGACATGTTGCAAGGCTCAGCCCAAAACCTTACACATCGTCTTGCACCCTTTGTAAACCACCGCCGCGTTCGACAAAAGAAGAGTTCCACAGGAAGTGGTACATTGCTGCAGCATGTCGTCCGCCTTACCGTCAACCCCAAGATTTGCCTCTCAATGATTGTGCTCTTCGTTCTCAGCGCTGGTATCACTGCATTCCTACTTTGGCATTACTACCGGGACACCTCGATCTGGCATCGCGATCCGGCGACGCTCCTCGGGAATTCAATGTTTCTCAGTGCTCACCCCGACCTTACATGCCGGGCTGCAGAGATCAACGGCGTAGCGTCAGGATGGCACCACGGCGCCTTTACGCCCTTGGTATTGAAAACGATACCTCGTGTGGTATTTTGCATCTTTACCATACTGCTGGCGGGTAGTCTCATTCTCACCCTCCGACATTCCGAGACATCGGATGGACTTGCAACCATTGGCGAAGACGGCTATTTGCACCTGATGTGGACCTCTTTTCCAGCTACCATAGCGCTCGGGGTGTCTCTCTACATTAGCTCTTGCGATTGGTCGTATCGTGATCTTGCGACTATATACCATCTCTCCAGAGCTACATGCACTTCTTCCGACCTCGATCGCTCTCTATTGGATATGCTGGGGTTTCGCGCGCTATTCTACTCTTTCCGTTACCGTCTCTGGTCTGTCACATTCTCTCAAAGCCTCGCCCTCGTTTGCGGGCTACTCACATCCCTTGTCTCCATCATCTTCACACTCGAAGTCATCCCGGGGTCGACACCAACTCAATTCCAACAGCAGACTTGGTTTCAATTATGGCCCGAAAAATGGGACCAAGCCTACGAGATGAAACAAAAAACGTTCAGCAGTCTTTGGACTCTTCAGGAAGACACCAAGTTGACATATCCGAAAAACACATTCGACGATCTTGTGTTCCACGATTTCGAGAGCATCAACAACCTCGACCCGTCCAAAAACATTTCAGTCGCAATCACAACACCAGCTAGGAAGGTCGAATTTCAGTGCACCCGTATGAGCGAGGAAAGGTACCACCTCAGCCATCATAAGCTCGTTTCCACTGGCCAGCTCACGCGCTTCTACGGCACCATAGGCGTCGATTTCGAGTGTCCCGAAAGGGGCACAACTTTTACAAGTAGAGGGGAACTCGACCTCGGTGAAAATGACCAAGCCCATCTGTTTCAACCCAGATACTTTTCAAGCAGACTTTCGTATGTATCGAACCCATGCGATCCTTCCTTGAACACGCAGACAAACTATACGACGGCTCTGTACCCGACATTTGTGTGGGGACAGTTCGACCCAGTTCTGGACGACTATACCTTTGTTACTGTGTATCATTGCGAACAATTTTGGGTCGAAGTCGACACGGAAATCAATCTAGTCTTTTCCGACGGCCATCTAGCCATCGACACGGAAAGGCCACCACGACCAGATATGTCGACCATGAGGCCCTTGGACCCCCCTCTTGATATGCCTCCTTGGCCGTTCATGGCGCCAGATGCCGGCATCGCTGATGAACCGAGTGCAGCATTCGGGGATCCGGAACAGGAGAAGGATGTACTGCAGTACTGGTTACACAACTACACGCGCAGCGCAGCGCAACTCGCCAACGTCATGAACCGCAAGCCCATCAGCGCCCAAGGCGGACCTTCACCGGCCCCGATTATAAACGCGACCGTATGGGACAATGGCCGCCGTCGGCTGGTACAGAACCCAACCATCACGTATGTCGTGGTAGGGATCCTGGGAGGCGTCATCCTATTCAACATCTGGACGCTGACGTCGGCCTTGATTCGACGCTGCGGCGGCGGGGATAGCTGGCTGCTGGACATGGATGCGAGGGGCCTGGCGCCGGACGGGTTCCACAGCATTGCCGCGGCGGCGGGCCTGCTGCGCAACTCGAACGTCGCGGCGCATCTGCCGCCTGGTGCCGAAATGATGTCTTTGGCTGAGTTGCACGGGCGCATGACTGGTATAGGCTTCCGGCTGGGATGGTTCCGGAGGGAATGTGATCAGACGAGGCATTACACTGTTGGTGTGATGGGCGATCCGGAGTTTAATTACATGGGTGTCAGAAGGAGTTCGAAGAGGGCCTTTGAGGGGGTTTCCAGCAAGGAGAGTGTAGCAACATGATAAATGTACATCCATAATGATATGGGGGGTTTGTATGAAGAAAAGATACCATTATCGGACTTTCGTTTTTGTACTTTAAAAAGCATTGTTGGGTAGATCAAGAATGGTCCTCAAAAATAGAATAGGGAATACTCGCAGACACAGCAAAATTGGGCATATCCACAATCTCCGCAATCTTCAAATCGGCCGCGATACTGCACAACATATACGCCTCCTCCCTCTCAAGCCCCCTCGTTGCAACAAGGTACGCAATCAACGCCCTCAGCGCCTTCCTACTCGCCTCCAACAAGTCGGAATCGATGCCCAACACCGCATACACACCACCATCCTCTACCCGATGGGCCCTCGCATACGCTGACCCGCGCGTATCATAGTGCGGACTCGTGACAAAGGGCATGTCTTTTCGAATAGTAAAGCTGAGAGTAGCTTTCATGGGCGTTTCGATTGCGGTACCGCAGACTTCGCCGTCCCCTTGCGCAGCATGCCCGTCTCCACAGGAGAAATTCGCGCCGGGGACGCGGATGGGGAGGTAGAGTTTCGTGCCGGCTGTGATGTGTTTGCAATCTATATTCCCGCCCGTCTCCAACGGCGGAATCGTCGAGAATGGGCCCTCTTGAGCGGGTGCTACGCCAGAGATTCCCAGGAACGGATGCAGTGGGACTTTGATGCCTGGTTTGAACACGATGTGCGTCGCGTCGTCGGTCCATTTAAAGTGTTTTATGACGTGGTGTGGGAATTCATCGGCGAGGAGCCCGAAGCCTGGGAGGATTGCGGTCCAGCCCCAGCCGGAGGAGGGGTTCAAGGAGAGGAATTCGATTTCGAGGACGGAGCCGGGGGATGCGCCTTCGATGGAGACGGGGCCGTAGATCGGGTCAAAGGTTGCGAGATCTAGGGTTGCGAGGTGGGTGGTTGTTGTGGTGGGTGTAATTTGGCCGCCGGAGGAGTCTCCTAGGTCGAAAGTCACGGGTTCGTTGGGGGGCACTGTGAGGATGGGTTTGGTTTTGCTGGACCAGTGGAGGGTTGGGTGGGCGGATGTGATGTGGAAGGAGGGGGCCATTTTGAGTTATTTTGGGATAGGAGAGCTGTGGATCTTTGAATAGAAGACTTTTGAATGAGTTTGGTTGTGTCGTGGGTTGTATCTTGTTGTCGGGAAGTTGGAAGGCTTGGTCTTCCGGAGACACGAACGGAGGTTGATGTCGGGTGGGGTTGCTTATCGGCGGTCGGATGCGGGGTCTCGGGATTTGAGGGGCGTGTGACGTACCTTCATCCCGGCACGGCGGAGCGGGCCTGACGTGCGTACATCCCGAGACTCTGGCAAACTATCGGTGTTTGTGATACTGATAAGATTGACAAGGGATATCGAATCTGGGGTTGATAACACTCACCTCTCTGTCAGGGTTTCGATACTGTGAGGTATCTGTAAGTACCTACCTGGGGCAGCATTCACGTATGGGAATCACCGGCGGGTGTGAAAATGGAAGTGTTCTTAGTATGGGGGGACATGGCTCATGACCGTGACATCGTATTTCGGTGTAGCTCCGTTATTCACTGATGAGTTGTCGGCACAACGTGACGTAAATACACTCCATCTCTCCTCTTCATCCACCTTTTAACCAAAGACCCATCCATACATCTCAAGGCCCTCCCAAATCACATAATCTCAACAGGCCCGAAAACGCTCCAAGAATCCTGACTCCCAACCATGCCCTCAACACTCAACCCCTTCGCCCGCTCCGCAAGCACCCCGCCCCCCAAGATCCCAGCAACCTGCCTCGACAGAGTCGACTTGCGCCCCAAATACCACAACGCCTTGACACAATCCTCACACCGATCCAGCGCCTCCGCAACAACCTCATCCTCAACACCCAACCCACCACCACCCGCCTCCTCAAGCAACAGCGTTCCCGCCATCGCAAACGACCTGATCAACACCATCGTCCACGGCTCCGTAAGCAAAGCCCCCTCCTTCACAGCCGGATGAAAATCCAACAACACGCCCAACCCGCCATCGTCATGCTGCGGTGTAGCCGCCCGCGCAAGATCCGACACTTCACGCACGCTCGCGCGCCTCAAATCGCCCACCAACCCGCTCTGCCCCCTCTCCGCGGCACGCGAAGCACTCCCGAGTCCTTGCTCATCCACAAGCGCGATACAATCCGCCATCATCATCGCCGCAAGAAGCCAGTGTCCCAGCAGACAAATGTACCAGCTCTGGATCTTGGACGGTAGCGCGTCGTGGTGCTCTATGCAATCGCGGAACAGCGGGCCGTACATCATGTTCCAGTGGCGGTACACCGCCAAACCGTCTTGTATCGCGTCCTCGATTATCCTCGGCGACGCGGAGCCGCGCGATGAGAGAGCCTGGATGCGCGTGATTTTGCGAAACAGCAAGACTTTGACGGGCGCCGCGTCGCGGAGTTCGCGCTCAAAGGTGTCGGTGGGGCAGGGCCAGCGCAAGGGCGCGAGTTTCTGGTGGCGTTTGATGATGAATTGATCGTTCCAGCCTTCTGGTGAGGGCGTGGGGTGTGCGGTGGTGGTGTCGTCGTCTTCATCTTTGGGCGGTGGTGAGTCTTGCTTCTTCGTCTCGCGGCTGTCTTCGTCCGAGACGACGGGTGGTCTGTCGGAGATTGCGGAGGATAGGGTGTCGAACATGATGGCGAGCCAGAAGAGCATCTTCATCGTTGCCTTTTCTTCGCCGTGCGCGTCTTCTCCGCTGACAGCCCAGTTGGAACCGTCCCTCGCGTTGGTGCCGCGTGCCTTTACGCGTTTCCTTCTCTCAAAGTTTTCAGATCGGCGCTTCAGGACGTGCAGGCGCCGCGCGCCGCGCTCGACGTAGAGCGAGTATCCTTCCTCCTCCAGCGCCGTCTGCACCTTTTCCTTCGTGCCCGGCGTCTCCCAGTCGTTTCCGTTTCCGTCTCCGCTGCCGTAATCGTACCCGAGCTGATTCTGACCGACCATCCCTTCGTTGAACTCCCAGCCGATCCCTTCCGCGCTCTCCTGGTTCTTCTGCGTCAGGCCGAAGAGGAGCTCCGCCATGGCCACCTTGAACGAGTCCACCCCTGCACAATCATCTAGGCACCGCTGCGCCTGGTTCCAGAATGAGATCTGCAGCGCCGTGTCGAATTCCTGTTCGGTTCCCGGCATAGACTCCCCAAAGCCGTTGGGCTTTTGATACCGCGCTTGACTCCGTTGACTTCCCTGCGCCCACTGCGCCGTGAACGCCATGATGGCAAGATGCAGCGCTTTCGTGGCCCTCCGGTCTTCGGACACGCTGAGCGGTTTGAGACCCAGCGAGACGAGGGATTTATCCAGCTTGAAAACGCGGCGGTAGATCCTGTTGGGCAGGTTAAGATGAATCTGCGTCGGGTCGTGACATCGTGCATCGCCGAGACTGGAACGCTCGAGCTGTGAGGGGGATAGGATGTAAGGACAGTTCTGCTCCACCAGCCAGCATGAGAGCGCGCCCTCCATGACGTCGTGGTACAGCTTCATAAGGTTATCCGTCATGAGCGCTTGGTTTGTCCGCGCTATCATCGTCTGCGTGGTCGAGTACTCTGAGATTCCGGCACCGGGTGGTGCATAGTTCATAGGGTGCGCTTGCTGCCACGCTCTCTTGCGAGCATTCGGGTTGATGCCCATGGTTGATGAAGTTGAATCCGGACTCAAGCTGATAGTCGAGGCGCCATGCATGGAGACAAGGTCGGCGTCGTCGAAGCCTGGTAACTCATCTGATAGACAACTGGGCGCCGACAATGACGAGGGGCCCTGGAAGAGAAGCGAGGCGTCGTCGGATGGGTCGAATGCGAGATGCTCGTCGGCGGGTGATAGCGTGAACAAGTCTTGAGGGAATCCAAAGTCGTTTGCTGTTCCGCCAAAGGCATGCGCGCCTGACGTCTCGTTGGTGAGAGACCCGGCGTGATCCGGGATGAGTGACTGAAGCTCCGCCAGCTGGGCCTCACTCAGCCCCGGCCCCTGGGACGCCGGCGACACTGAGGCGTTGTTGCTATTGCTGTCGTTGTTGTTCTTCTTGCTGTGAGTGGACTTGACCCTCTTCCGACTCGGCACGGCGGAAGCGGAAGCGGAACCTGCGCCGGCGCCGTTCTTCTCGGCAGACTGCCGTCGGACTCGGAGCTGGGCCTGCTGTGACCGGGCCCAGTTGAATGTGCACGACTTGCGCGTCTTTGAACAGTTTGAGCACGGCCCGTTCATGCTCTGCCAATCTGTTGCTTGAAGAGATTAGTCCTGTGTGAAGAGGCGCGATTTTCTTTTGACTTTTTTTATGATTTTTTTTTTGAATTTTTTTTTGGGTGGCTTCAGTTTCACTCCCGGTCTCTACCTACCAACCTCCCATTGAAGGTCCGCATCCAGACACAGCTGGATATCCTTGAGGGCGCCCGCGTCGCAGGCCCTCTTGCCCTTGCGACATTGGTCGCAGCTGCTATTTTGCCGCCTCATCGCGAGTCGGGTTTCGCGTTATCGTCTTCAGGGCGTGGGCGTCGGGTATCGTGGCTCTTTCTCACACACTACTTCGGTACAGATAATCCGTAAGGTATGTGTCAAAGGTGAGATGAGATTTCAATGTGGAGGTTTTGCCCGGCTGTGAGGCGGAGTTTAGAGACAACGAAGCTGAAAAAGAAGGGGGGGGGTCTCCAGTTTCTTTTTCCCCCAACAAAGAAAAATCCCCGCTAGTTCCAAAACTCGTGACCAGTCAAATCTCCCGGCCATCCGAAACGACGTCGTCACGGGGAGGTCCCTGTTGTTCAAACCCCGCGTTTTTTCAACCTCTCTCTCTCTCTCTCTAGCGTTGCCTGCGTCAGCAAAGAAGAAAGCGGGGTGCATACAGGCGAGTTTGCCAGGTTGCCAGTTGGTTCATGTTTCCCCCCCCCCCCCCGCAGATCCTCTTCTCAAGATTCACTCGGTCTCTGGTTGTGTGCCTGGTCTGGTGTTGGCTGGTCTGGGGCAGCACCGGGGGCTGGGATGGGATCCCGGGAATGGAAGGGGAGGGGAGGGTTCCCCATCCTCCGGAAGCGAGCTGTCAACCCCGGATTCATCGCTTGTGGTGAACCTTACGAGGCACAGGTCAAAGGATCCAATGGTTTGGTTAGAGGTTCTCGAGCTTACCATGTCGGTGGCATTCTTCAGCTGTTTCTGGGGAGAGAATCAGGCCACTCCGACCTCAGTTGGCAGTTCAAGCCAATGGCGAGCGATAACCCCCATGCACTGAGTCTACAGCAAGGGAATTGGTTCAAGACCTCTTCACATATTACTAGTTTCATTCTGAAGGGGAACCAATAGGAAAGCATCCGTATATGGAAATATGTTTCCGAGATTCCGACTAGGAGCAGCCCAGCCTCATCGGCAGAGAACGAACGCAAACCCCGCGAGACACCAAGACTGAGGATTCAGTCATGATCACAGGGCAGTCATCACGCACTCAACCCCTTATATACAGCAGCCTCAACCTGTGCCCAAAGCCCCATGACCGACGCATCACCAAAAGGCAGAATCTGCGAGCACACGATCCCGGCTACCCCGTTCTCCCGATCGCACCACCAAAACAGGTTCGGCAGCCCAGCCCACCACGCCGTCCCGCTCGAGCGCCCCGTCGGCCCGCCCGTGATCATGAACGTCAGGCCCCAGCCCTGCGGCGGGTTGCCCGGGAGCGGGTAGAGCTCCGGAATTGCGTTTGTCAGCTCCGGTTTCGCGTCCTGGACGCCGTTCCGGGCAAAGTCTGGGAACTTGGAGATTTGGTTGGAGAACATTTCGTCTACTGTCTCCTTTTTCAGGAGTTGGGATTTGGTGATGGGGCAGATTCCGTCGTTTAGGAAGACTGCGAGGATGCCTACGAAGTCGTGTAGTTAGTCATCTGGCAGGACATGATTCTGACAGAGGCGAAGTACGTACGGGTGTATTCTTGAGGCTTTGCAAAGATGCCGGCGCCGCCGCTGTTGAAGCAAGCGCGGATCTCTTCCTCCGATTGCACGATCAATGGGCGATGGAGAGGGTGGTCTCTGTGCACCGTCTTGCCGTCGGGCCTCTTGTAATGCATGTACGCCAACTGCGCCTTCATCGAGGGCGTCGGGATCATGTTGACATTGTGTAGGCCCAGGGGCTGGCAGATGTTGGCTTGGATGTAGTCGTTGAGACTCATGTTTGTGGCACGCTCCAGCGCGATACCGGCCCAGTCAATGCCAACCTGCAGCTTGAGTTAGAGATAATGGGCTCGATAGTGTGCCACTTTAATCTTCACTTACGCCGTACTCCCAGCCCTCTCCGGGCTGGAACAACAGAGGCTGCACCATATCCCTCACGCTCCCAGAGAACTCATCGATGCCCGCAGGCAAGCTCCAGTCGCGCAGCCGTTCACTGAAGAAGGTATACCCGAACCCGGCAGTATGCGTCAGCAACATGCGGAGCGTGATCCCGCGCTTCTTATCCACGAGCTTGCCCTCTGGCGTGAGGACTTTGATGTCGGCCAGCTCCGGGCAGAGCTTCTCGAGGTGGTCCGCGTCGTCGAGGTTCAGCTGGCCCTTCTCCACGAGCTGCATGCATGCGATGCCGACCACCATTTTCGTGCACGAGGCAATCCAGTAGACGCTGTCCAGGGTCATGGGCTCCGAGGAATCGACGCCTCGTTTTCCGGCTGAGTGGGCGAATTGCTCCTTGCCGGTGCGGTCGATTACGACTACGGTTGTTCCGGGGATCCGGTTGGGGTCGGATGTGACGGCATTTTCTACGATGCCTTTGATTTCGTCCACGGCTTGTGATGAGAGAGGCATGGTCTTCTCGAGTGTGAGGGTTTGAAATGTGAGTTTTTATGGAGTGAGTGAGATGAGAGTGTGTGAGATGGCGTGTGAAGATAAATGAGATGAACGGCACATGTGAGGAAGGAGGGTGTGTGTGAGTGTGTGAGTGAAGAAAATCAGATTTCACAACGAACACACGAGAGACCACAGAGATAATCAATTCGGCCGAGCTTCTTGGCAATCTGCGGCCGGCCTTTTTCCAAAGCAGATATGTCGGTGCGGTAGCATTAAATACGGGGGCCCATCGTCTCAGCTGCAGCCCAAAGAAGACGCAAGCACGCATGTTGACGAAAGAGATGGTCCAAAGTTCTCAACCTAGTCATTGAACCGCGTCCAACCTCGGCCCACCACCATCACGCACTTACCGAGAATAGCTGAGAAAGAACCAGTAATTAGTCTTTCACCAGGTACCCTATTCCGACCTTGGTCAACGAGAGAGACTTGAGTTGATTCGTCTCAGAACATGGACCATCCCTTCCCTCCCGCGATGCCAACCTGAAAGTTTGTCTTCCCCGCAAAGCGGCTGGAGTGTCACGGCAGTTGCGGATCCGCTCCCACGACACGACCACAACGGCTCTCCGCAGCGGCTCTCCGCATTTTCTGTGACATCCCGTTTTGTTTGAATCCGCCTGAACCTACAGAGCGGCCTGCAGGGCGGATCCGCAGCGGCTCCTCCTTCGATGCGCTGCGGGGATGCAAGACGCGAGGCGAGGCTGGCGTTTGAGGAAAGAGATGTGCGATCTTGTCTGGAGTTGTAACTTGTTGCTGCATGTCTGAGGTGAGTACAACGTCGCCGGCTGATGCGGGACGGAGAACATCTGCGTGCTGCGCATTCGACGTTGCTCTGGGGCCTCGGAGTCTGCGGCCTTGCGGTGTTCTTGCAGATAATAGCGATAAGGATATCGATGCAATGCCACGAATGCGGGCAGATTCAGTGCGGAGAATGCAATTGCGGTTGCCTCTTCCAAGGTATCCGTACGTGATGTTGGAGTACAGTGTCCCATGGGGATGCTCTGAGGATACCCGTTGCGTCGTCTGATGTCACGTAAAGCAACACGTCGCATGCGAAACGAACTGGATCAGGTAGACTTCAGTATGTCGTCACACGAAGTTATATAAAGCATTGAACCCCCTCGACTCTGTGTGCTGTAGTATTCAATTGGATGAAAAGAAGCATACATCAGTGCTTTCACTCCAATTTCATCATTATCATTGTTTGAAATTTACTTCTAAGAGTTTGAAATTGCAATCTGCAGACATGGCTGCAACTACAGATACCCAGCAAAAGAAGTTTGCGACCGATCTGACGGACTATGCCAAGCGTCGTCAGACTGATGGGCCTTATGCCGATGACCTCGATGTAGATGTTCTCATCGTGGGAGGTGGATTCGGTGAGATATTCCACCCCAAAGCTCAGGAACTAGTTCTCAAAGTAACCTGATTATCAAAGGCGGGGTTTTCATGCTCAAGACTTTGCGAGAGATGGGCCTTCGAGCCGTCATCTACGAAGCCGGAACCTCGTTCGGAGGAACCTGGCGCTGGAACCGCTACCCAGGAGCCCGGGTTGACTCTGAGGTTCCAGAGTATGAGTTCTCGTGGCCCGAGGTGTTCAAGGACTGGACATGGTCTACCAACTATCCCAACTACCAGGAGCTTCGTCAGTACTTTGACCACGTTGATAAGGTCAGTTCGTATGAGAGCTCAATCCTGTGGCGAACGTACCCAAGCTAAGACACAGTCTCACAGGTCCTGAATCTCTCCAAAGACTGCTCATTTGATACTGTCGTCGTCGGCGCCCAGTTCCAGCCAGCCGAAGGCAAATGGCACGTAAAGACTGCCGATGGCCGCCTGGCGAAGAGCAAGTACTTTGTCGTCGCAGCCGGCTTTGTAAGTCGAGCCTACCCCCACTCTTCCTCTCGCACTCCTCGTTTCCGCCATAAACTCACACCCAGCCTAGGCCTCAAAACGTTACATCCCCAACTGGCCCGGCGTCGAAAAGTTCAAAGGCGTAGTCCACCACTCCTCCTTCTGGCCCGAAGAAGACGTCCCCGTCCGCGGCAAGCGCTGCGCCGTCATCGGCACCGGCGCCTCAGGCGTCCAAATCTCCCAGGAATGGGGCAAGGCCGTCGGCGAGTCCGGCGAGCTCAAGGTCTTCCAGCGCACGCCGAACCTGGCGGTGCCGATGGGCAAGCGCAACCTCACGGCGCAGGAGCAGAACATCTCCAAAGAGTGGTACCCGCGCCTCTACCAGCTGCGCGAGAAGTGCTTCGGCGGCTTCTTCTACGGCATGGTGGAGCGCAACACCTTTGACGACTCCCCCGAGGAGCGGGAGGCGTTTTACCGACAGCTGTGGGAGCACGGCGGGTTCCGATTCTGGCTGGGGAATTACAAGGATATGTTGTTCAGTGCGGATGCTAACAAAGAGGCGTACGACTTTTGGGCGCGCAATGTGCGAACCCGGATTGGAGATGCGAAGAAGAGGGATATTTTGGCGCCCAAGGTAGAGAAGATGCCGCACTTCTTTGGCGTCAAGAGGCCTTGTTTGGAGCAGAACTACTATGAGCAGTTCAACAAGGCCAATGTGGATGTTGTCGACATCAGCAAAAACGAGATTGACAGCTTCACGGAGACGGGCATCAGATTGAAGGATGGAACGACGTACGACTTTGATGTGGTTGCCATTGCCACTGGATTTGTAAGTCTTCTTGTCTTTCATTTATGCGGAGGCAAGGGGGATTCTTGTACTTGTGTCCTCGAACGCGACAAAGGAGAAGCCCCAAGTCCTCCAGAATCTCATCCTCGCCCTACGTACGCAACGTTACAGACTCGCCAAAAAGCTAACCGAGAAATTCCTCGTAGGATATCACAACCGGAGGCATGACAAACATGGGCCTCAAGAGCATCAACAACACCTACCTCCAAGACGAGTGGAAGGCCGCGGCAAACACCTACCTCGGCACCACCGTCAGCGGCTACCCCAACATGTTCCACATGTACGGGCCCCACGGTCCCACGCTTCTCAGCAACGGGCCCTCAACGGTCGAGGTCCAGGGCCGTTGGATCGCCGACTGCATCCGCAAGATTGAGCGGGAGAACATCAAGTACGTCAACCCGACGGCGGACGCGACCAAGGCGTGGAAGCAGCGGATCAACGAGTTGAGCGATGCGAGCTTGTTCCCGACGACGCGGTCGACGTACATGGGTGGGTCGATGCCGGGTAAGGCGTTTGAGCAGGTGAACTTTGCGGGTGGGATTCCGCAGTATGCCAAGGAGATTCGGGAGAAGCTGGATGGGTGGGCTGGGTTTGATATTGTAAAGGATACGAGAGATAAGAGTAGAATCTGAGCTTGGAGAGGTCATGTCGCGATGATTGTAGGCACCATAGTTTCGTAGTACTAAGTCTCGAAGTTTTATCGAAGCTGTCTGAGAACGAAATCATGTTGGATTTCCATGTGAATCTTTCCATGAGATTAGCTATGAGATGTCGACTGTCGGAAAGAAGAGGAACCCAGCCACGTAGTACAAGTATGCCCGACGGATGGTATTCATCAAAAGAAGACGACAGCCCGATCAAAGGCATCACCTGGTGGTCATTTGATGCAGGCTTTTCAGATCAAACTCAATCATCAATGCAGTGTGCATATGTATATCCCATTCATCGAGTAAGGGAGCGTCTTGGAGCTCATGAATACAGGTGGGCTCTTGAGGCTTTCACATCAATGAGCTATCTACTATTAAATATCTTCATCGGCATATCTATCACTTCAGATCCTACAAAATATCTTCCCGAGGGAAGTCCGGCTAGAGAAAAATATAACCAAAAGGCCAAGGTCATGTTGTACGATATATATAACCCACCAGAATGCGGAAATCTTGTAACACAACCCGAAGAGCAACATAAGTAGGAATTCTCAATGCTCACTGAATTTCGGTTATCGCACCTTCCATTGTTTTTGGTCTTCTCTCATTATCCATTTCGGATGAAGGCGGTGAAAGAAAGGTGAAATACTATGCCCAAACTTCACCTTGTTATTCGTCTCCTAAGTATTCTTTCCTTGACTGAAGGACTAGTCAGTGGCATATTCATCCACCTCATCCTTTGTATTCGCCTTAACCGAGGCCCCGAATTCTTCTCGCACAATAATCGAGCTGAGAAAAATTCATTCAGGCCTCTTTCTTCTATTCTCATCTTCTCGCCTCTTTCTCTCCCCCTCACCTCAACACCAACCCAACCCATCGCAAGAAGCCAAACACCTGCGATTTACGAATCCCCCCAAAACCTCACTCCCGTCCTGAGGCAATTATCCGCTTACTATCACTTCCGCTGCCGGTAAGTTTTTCTTGAGCTCAGAATATTTTCGATAATTATCTAACGTCGTCTACAGTGAGGATGGCCGCCGCCCGACACCATTGGGCTCCCGGAGTCCTCTGGGCTTTGCTGCTGTTCCAGCTGCTCGCCCTTACTCTTGCCCGTAAGTTTCGTCAATAATCTCATCCTCTTTTCCTTTTTTCAAAGGTACTCATGGCAAATGACAATGAGCTAATAAGTTTTCCCAGAGTCTGTCCCGATCGTCACCACCCCTCACGAGTGTGCCTGTGAGAACTTTTCGCCCGGCACCAACACCCTCAAGTTCAACAATGGAGCCACCTCTGTCTGCCCTTGTACCTGTGTGAAGACCACCTGGGTTCCTACCACATACACCGAGGTCTACACTATCCACGATTCCACGACTTCTGACGGCCCGATCGTGACCACTCCTTCTCCCACGCTGCCCGAGTCTTCTGCTTTCAGCAATTTCATCAGCAGCATCGCCTCGTCTGTCCGAAACTTCACGACCTCGATCAATGGCACCGGCATTATCTCGTCTTCTTGGTCTTCCTTGTTCGTTAGTTACAATGCGACAAGTGTCCAGCACACGACTACGGTATCTGGCGTCTTCTGGACTGGAACAGGCAGCGGCGTTGGTGGAACGTTCACATCTCAGACCTTCATCTGGAAGAACTCGACCTTGAGCTCTCTGCTGTCAACGATCAGACCTGGAAGCACTCTCATTTGGGCCAACTCCACCATGTCGACCCTCAGATCTGGCGGTTTGCAGTCTGCCAATACCTCAGCCCCTTCGGGATCTACCATGTCGACCCTCAACTCTGGTGGCTTTCACTCTACCAATACATCAGCCCCTTCGAGCTCTTTCAGATCGACCCTGAGATCAGGCGGCTTTCAATCTGCCGATAGTTCAGTCCCTTTGAGTGTCCAAGAGTCGTCTGTTCAATCCAAGCCTTCGGTGTCCACATCCTCTGTGATCGGTTCGGGAACCACAACTCCTGCCCCAGTCCGCACCACTGTTCCCCCTGCCTCACCTATCGCATCGAGCACTCTTCCACCCCAGACAAACTCGTCCGTGGCCACGACCGGTTCAGAGAAGACATCGAGCCAGGCTTCTGCTGCTTCAACAAGTTCCCAGCCCGCAGAGACTGACAATTCTGCCTATGTCCCCCCTTTCGGTACCATCACTGTCGAGCCTCTGACCGCAACCTCGATTCAGACAGATGGACTTTTAAAGACCACCAGGGTTACCTGGCTGTCCATCGACGTCCCGAGGCTGACTACCATCGACGGAGACATCACAACAACTATCTTCCCTGCCTGGCGATGTATCTCGACCGATCTCTGCAACCCGAATTGCCTTGTCCCTGATGAGCTTTGCCTGTCTGCCCCCTCGGCTAACCCTCTTGGATACCCCTGGCCTTCGAAGCCTTCGAAGCCCCCATCCGCTACAAATGGCTGGATAATTCGGACCAGTGAAGGTGTTGAAGCTCCTAAATTTACCTCTACGCATGGAGTTACTAAGCCCGGAGGTGGAGGTGGCGGTGGCGGAGATGACGATGATGACGGCGACCACGACGGAGATGATGATCATGGAGGAGACGACGACCATGGAGGAGACGATGATCACGGCGGAGATGACGACCATGGCGGCGACGATGATCATGGCGGAGACGATGATCATGGAGGAGATGATGACCACGGGGGCGACGATGGTCATGGCGGCGATGATCATGGCGGCGGACATACAACCGACAATCAAGATGAGCTCGCTCTCCACGGCTTCAGAATCGATCTCGGTCTCGACCTCCTCGATAAGGGACGGAACATCCTCGGCCATGGCATGGAGATTGGCTTCGGCACCAATAACCCAGCCGTCAATACACAGCCCGATGACCCCGAGCCCTCCCAGTCCGAGAAGGAAACATCCACGTCCACCTCAAGCTCATCTTGCACCCAGACATACACCCTCGCTCCTCACTGCACCCAGCCATGCGTCGTCTCCCAAATTCGAAGCCAGGGCACGAGCAGCTTCACCACCAGCTGCGCGACAGCCACCTGCCGAACCACGCAGCTCTGCACCAGTATTGAGACCACCACCACAACCACTTACACGACCAAGAAGCCCGAGCCAACCGCCGGCTGTATGGCCGGAAAGTGCCTTTCATGCCAGGAGAACAACAAGCTGGAAGCTCGACAGGGTTGGTGGGATGAGGACATCCTCACCGAGACCATTTCCGAACCTGAAGAATGGCACGAAGGCGAGTACGAGTGGTGGGAGAAGATGCGCCGCATCGCAAAGTACTACGGCCCCGGCCTGGCCATGGGAAGCGAGACGGGACACGACTCCTCGGCCTCCTGGGAAGCTTTCGGGCCCACCCCCCACGGCGGCGGCGCCGGTCCCGTCTGGGGCTGTACCATCATCGCCTCCTTCTCCCCCGAGGGCGTGTACGCCAACCACCTGTGGGAGATTCCCAATTTCGCCATCCCTCCTGACGAAGAGAAGCACTTCAAGGTCGACAAAGGCTACAGGGCGCCCTACTACTTTGAGCAGAACGTCAACCGCTTCCTCCAGTATGGCTCGCTCGACACGCCCAAGCAAAAGGAATTCCCTGCGCTGTGCCCGATGAACCTCCCCGGCGGTCCCCTCTACGGCGACAACTACCAATTCTTCCGCACAATCATGTTTGTACCCATCGAGACGACGGGTAATATGTACTATGCCCACCAAAACGCCAAGATCATGGCGATTCTCACCGAGAAGTGCAGGATTGATAAGAAATACATCACCATCCATGGGTACGAAGTCAAAGAAGCGCTCGACAAGGACTTCCAATATGACCTTGGTCGCGCCACGCCTCCGCCTGACCGCCGCGCCTCGAACCCCTGGGACGGCCTCCTCAGCTGGCAGTACACACCCAAGGGCCCCAGCGGCCAGAGAGAGCTCGTAGTCCGCTTCGAGAAGAGCATTGTTCATCGCGATGCCTGGTGCGGAGACGGTCTCGTCACGCAGCCAGAGGCCCCCATCCGGTTCGACCTCAGACCGAGTCCCCCTCGCGATCCCAACCAGGATACAACTCGTCCTTCTGATAACGGTTCTCCTCCCCCTTCTGATGATGACGATACGCCTCGCCCTTCTGACACTGGCACCCCTCGCCCTCCCGCAAAGGAGCTCAAGCTCAGACAAGATGAAGGAACCTGTCCTCGAATGATTGCCTGCGGTCTCGGCTCTCCGATTTTGAGCGTGTGCGACTACAAGAAGTTCCCTCCTCCGCCCATGGAAGGCCCCTCGGCTCTCAAGGCCCGAGCACCCCCTTCCAACGACCCCAATCATGGCCCAATGCAGGCGGAGCTCGATCTCGAATCAGAAAACATGATCGAACCCAAGGATTCCCTCGGCGGCGAACGGTGGTGGTACACTCGCATGCGCCACATCGTCGACGAGCGAGGCCCCGGCTACGGCGGTATCAAAAACGTCCCCGAGATCTGGTCCACGAGCTCCATGATCAGATTCAACAAAGAGGTTGATGGCACTTACACGAACCGGCCGCGCTTTGGCGGCTCGGGACCCGTTTGGGGCTGCACCGTCGTCGTCGTCGCCTCCCCGGCCGGCGTCTGGACGAGCCACATGTGGGAGATTCCCACCTTCAGCCTGGGCCAGGAGTTTGGCAGCTCCAGTACGACCGAGTGGACCAAGTTCTACCCAAAATCGCAGATTGAGTACTTCCGAGAAGGCGTCGTGGACTTCATGTCGTGGGGCAACAATCGCGGCTCCTTCAGACAACTCAAGGACGGCAAAGTCCCCACGCGCAACCCGGGCTTCGTCGAGTTTGCGGCCAAGAACTCTGGCGAGCCCTTTGACGCCAAGACCAAGACGTGGCTGTGGGCCGGTATCATCACCCGGGCTCACAAGGATATGAGGGGTGAGCCGCTGCAATACCAGGACTCGACAATGCGAACGCAGTACAGCTGGCAGGTGGAGCAGATTCAAAACATCTTGAAGCAGAAGCTGAGCATCGACGACAACAACCTCATCAAGATCATCACGTATGCTCCCCGCAGGGATATGGCGCAGAACAACCCCAACATGCCGCCCGAGTATGGCCTCATCAACTGGCAGTATCACCCTGAGCACACTGAGGAGGGCATGGGCCACTCGGAGAGGAAGCTGCGCATCCGGTTCGAGAACCAAGTCATCTTTGAGAAGACGTGGTGCGGTTCCGGCAACAAGGTTATCATTGCAGACGGATCCAAGCCGCCTTTGAAGCCCCCTTCGAAGCACCGTCGACAGGAAGATGAGGGTGGTGAGGTCGAGGCTTGTCTGTTGGCTCAAAGCTCGTCGTCCGCTGCCGCTTCCGTGCTCCCACGTCCCACCCAGGCTTGCACCGCCGACGCCGAGTGTGGCTCTCTTGCTTGCCCTCAACCACGGTTCGGTGCCTGTTTGTATGGTGTCTGTCGATGTGCTCTCTCCGACAGTCTCAGCTACACCAAGACTCCTGCTACTCCGGTGCCTGGCATGTACACGAACACCGCGGTGCCTGTGAACTACACGTCCCCCACAAATCTCATCACGTTGTTCACAGGCTCCCCGACAAGCATCTCTTCGAACAGTTTTAAGTCAAGCACCTCCCGGATAATCAAGACTACGGGTTTATGGATGCCCTCTTCCATCAAGAACCATTCGTCTTCCACCGTCTCGCCGTTGTACACCGTCACCCTCTCGGCCTGGGACCCCTCCCAGACTCCCATCACCGGCTGTAACACGACTCAGGACTGCTCATCCCTCTCCTGCTTCGGCAACCAGACCTACGCCTGCATCACAAAGGACGACAACCCCAAGTCAACCTGCCACTGCGTCGACCGCCCGAAGCTCTTCGAGCCCTGCACCGTGGCAGCAGACTGCGCACACCTGAAGTGCGACGCAAACCACTTCTCTACCTGCCGGCCCCTCGTTGACTTCCCTGGAGCCGATTCTATCTGTCAATGCGAAGCCCTCGCCCTCAAGCCAGGCGCCTTCTGCACAGTCGACTCCCATTGCGACGGTCTCCCCTGCGAAGGCAAAACGAACCGCCGTGGCAAGTGCATCAAGCCCTCGTCCGACGACATCGGCGGCGTCGGCCTCTCAGGCGGCTGCCAGTGCGACTACTACCAATCCGAAGGCGTCGGCTGCTCCTCGCACGACGACTGCTCCACCATCCGCTGCACCGAAGATCAACCCTACAAGTCCTGCACCATCCCCGACGGGCCCCTCGACAAGACGGCCAACGTCTGCGCCTGCGCCGCCGAGAAGCCGCCCCGCCGTCTCGCCGAGGGCGACAAGTGCTCCGCGCACAAGGAGTGTGCCACGATCGGATGCACAGAGTACGAGGTCTCCGTCTGCGAGCGCGCCACCTGTCGCTGCGGCAACCTCAAGTGCGGTTCGAGCCGTGACTGTGACTCCAGCGCGCTCGACTGTGCCGGCAAGGGGAACCTGCGGTGCGGTGACAAGGGCATGTGCGAGTGCAAGCCTTGCACTGAGCACTGGAAGGGCTTGACGTGTGGGAAGGATGCGGATTGCAACCACTGCTGCAAGCGCGGAACCTTGCCCAAGTGCAAGTATACTTGCCTTGCCTTCTGGTGTGGTAGCGAGTGTCAGTGTGATCTTTGGTAGATTGGGGATGTTTTCTGGAGGGGGAGATGGCCTTTCTTTTTCCCTTTTTACGCCTTATCCGAACACTGGAGATTGCCATCACGCTGGACACTTTGGAGGACTCAGGAATGATACCAAACTTCAGATACTGCCCTCAAGGCAAGAATCGAGATAACGGATTGAATGAGAGATTTCTCATCAACATGGTGCTGAGCTTTAATTACCTTGACTTATACCTGCTTGCGTGAGATCATGGAGCTCGACTGATATGCCGAATCCACTAAATCTTGCTTCAACTTACTGGTTGGCCCTTAAAATAATCAAAGGCCTAGCTTGAATAACTCCAAGGGAGGGTCCTCCGAGTTGAACGTATCAGGTACTATCAACCTCACTTGGAGGAGTGGGTGCCAGTAAGGACTTAGCTAGATGGCTTCGTCATTATGGCTCTCACAGAGACATCGACCCTCTCATCCGGGAATTATTCAAGCCCGACTTCCTTCTGCGGCAAAGATAAGGGAGGAGAACTGATCTTCTCAACATACTCCTTCGTAGCAAGACGTTGAAGTCGCCTTAGAGCGCGAGATGAGTGTTGAACAGGGAAAAGCTGAAAGTCAGCACGATAAATGATACAGGACTCCAAGACTTCTTGGCAATTTGGACATGCATGCGAATGGCATAGGATACTGACTGTTCAATTTGGAATAAGGTAGTATGATCACCTTTTGAGGGTAGGAAAAGACTCCTAACAATTGCATAGTTGTAAAAGAGATGGTTCAAAAAGAAAAACAAAAAAATTAAGTGCTTCACAAAACAGCAAGAAAAATATTTCTACCTCCACGTTGGACTTAATTCGTCAAATCTTCAATGGAATCTCATAATTGTCAAGGGAGTTACACACTCATGGATGAAATCTCAAACAATGATGCAAGTTCATGTTTTGTGATCATTCAATGTCTCTATTACTATGAAAAGTCGTGAGTCGAACCCGCCCCTTTGTGAGGGCATGTTCCCATATCTGCAATTCCCAAACGCCATTCTGTGTCATAAACCATGATTCATTCACAATAATCTCATCGCTCGCAATGTCTTGAGAAATAAAATACCCACCGTCTCCGCCGGCAGACCTCAGGGATTCACCCCAGCGCTCGCAGCACTCTCTCCAACTTGTACCTCCTCATCGGGCACGCCAACAGCGACACTGCTAGCGATGCTCATCGCCGTCAAGGATCGCTCCCTCTCGCCTCCAGGACGTCTGCTGGAGCCAGCTATACCAGCCCCTCCGGTAGTGACGCCGACACTGGTTGCATCCGCCACTGGGGTGGCAGCGGTAGCGCTGCTCGTGCTCTCGCTCCGATCCCGTCCAGCAGTGGCGCTCTTCTCCCTGACCATCTTCTCCAGGTCGCGAATCCTCTGCTTCAGCACCTCATTCTCCTTCTTGGCGTTCTCTAGTTCCTGTCGGTGTAGCGCCGTCTCCTCGTACCGCGACGTCGTGGGCATCAGACCAGGCGAGAGCTGCGCCTCGCTACCGCCGGGCGTGGCAGCGACCGAGGTGCCACCGGTATGCTGATGCGGCAAACGCTGCTGCTGGAAGTATGTGAGACCACTGGTACTGGTCGGGTCCAGGTAATGATGAGAAGGCGCCGGCGACGAAGATAAGCTGTGGCGGGAGGCCACGCTATCTTGGCGGCCGGGGTTCGGGGGCCGGGCGATGGGGATGGATGTAGTGGATGCGGCGGCTGAGCCCGCGACGGCGGTCTGGCTTCGGGCGCTGGCGTTCGAGGCGGTGCGGTGGTGCCGGCGGGAGCTGTTTGAAGGGACGGCCGGAGTGGAAAAGGCGGCGCCGGAGAGGAGGTGGGTGTCGGGTGCTTCGGTCGTGTTGGAGGCTGATGTGGAGGAGGCGTTGGATGCTACGGAGGCGTTCTGCGCTGTTCGGAGAAGTTGGAGCTCTCGCGTGAGGCGGTTCACCTATACTGCGAATTAGTCTTGGTCTTGTTCCAGCGTCTAAGCCTACCAGACGTACCACTGCTTCTTGCTCTTTCTCCAACTGCATGTGAAGATCGGACGCGGTGATGGGCCGCGGGTGTCGAATCGGGCCTGGGCCGGAGACAGATGGCTCGGGAAAGGCTGGAGGTGACGCTGCTACTGCTGGGGCCATCGGCGGAGATCCTACGGGAGGGTTAGAAGGCGGATGATTGACCGTATTCTGGTTGGACGGGAGGATGTTGAGGGAGGAGGAGTCGGAAGATTGCGCTGGAAGTGGAGGGGGCGGCATCTGGTGAGATGAAGAGCGCCGTGAGCCACTGAGAGGGTGTGGTGAGGCCGGGACAGAGTTGAGGTCGGGCATTGTGACGATGCTGGTGATGCTGGTGGTGGGTTCTGCTGGAATGCGGACGCTGATGCGAAGATGAAGCCTTTGTCCAGGTTCGACGTTGTCTGATAATAGCCGCGATATAGCTCAAACGCGTAGTTGTTTGTTGCTTTGTTTGGAGGTCGCGGTCAACACGTCCTGAGTCGTCCAATCTCGCAGCGGGCTGTTTGTTTGTCTGGGTTGCTTGGGTTTGGAGCTCCGTCATGCTTCATGCCCCCATTCATGCGTCGTTGCCCCACACACCGCCCCGCGATAAGGTGAGGTCCAGCCACAACCCCTCTCCGGCCACATCGATGCCAGCCACCCAGCACCAGCACCAGCACCAGCCACATATCTATCTTATCGATACCTATTTGATCGCACTATTATCTCCAGCGGGACTGGAGTTTATCCATCGCCGAGATAATCAACATTGTCAAGTGGGTCCCTTCGTCGCACGTCCCCCCGCCTCTCCCTTCTTCCTCCCTGTCGCACTCAACCCTCACAACCGCCCCCGATCTGACCACCACTGCGATCCGACGTTGTATTTTCGTGCGTGGTGCAAACTCTATGCGGCCCGGGTGTTACAGTTGAAATTCCCATCTACCGCGAATAGCCCTACCGAAGACGACATGCCTTTCCAGAATGCACATGTTCGACGCCGGTGCGAGTACGACCTCGCCGCCATCATCATCTGAGCTCAGGACAGCCAGCGACACTTTCTTCCGAAGACGGCGGGAAAGACCGAGAATAGAATTTCTCGAACTTTGACGAGTCGCAGCCGGCAGACTTCGGCGTCACAAGCTCTGCCAGACAACCAGAACCACCCACAACCACCAGAGGACAAACGTTCCAGCGCCACACTCAGTCGTTTGCCTGCCGGCCAGAACTTTCGGGTGGAGAAGTCTTCTGTCATCCGGCTGCAATAACGGCATCACCCTTACACTTATTGTGGACGAAACACGGAGACAAGTCGATAACGGAGCATATTCCACCGTTTTCTCGCAGATCACCCGCCGTTTCGCCAAATGTGGCTGCTTCCCTAGCGTCGGCGCCACACTGCTCCCCGCAGCTGCCCCGCTCCTGACGTTGCATGGGCCAAGCGCCCCTTGCGACTCCGTCCTCCCACCCCTGACGACGGCACAGACGGCTGGACGGTTGGACGACCATGCAGAAAAGATGCCATTCACCTTCGGCGCTTTTCCTCCGGACGTCTCGGGTCTGCCACGCGTCCCCTGTCAACAGAGCTTCCCCCCTCCCCAGCGCAATCTCTCTCCCGTCACTCGTTGTCCGTTTCGAGCAGGCAGTTTGGTCATAGCTCCAGCGATGATCTCACCTCTGGGCAGCCTCTTTCGCTTCAGTCGGAAAGGGGTGGTCGGTTAACGATAGTCGACAGCGTTTGTGCAACGGCGGACACACGACGCTAATCAAAGTCGCTCAACGCTTGCGACTTGACCGGTCACACAATCCCATTGTTCTGGCACAGTTGTTTTACCAGCCAGACGTCGTCCGAACAGAGTCTATTGCCTTTTGGAGCTGCACCCACCCGACGACCACTCTTCCCGCGCGTTATCCCGCCAAGCTTGGCTTCCCGCCATAACACGCCCAAATATGATCGATCCCGCGGGTACGACGCGGCGGCGAAAAGCGGTACGGTACACGACTCAAAAATATGGAGCAGAATCTCTGCCATCGGTCTAGATCATTGCGGGTCATCCGTTAGGTACAGAGTACCGTTCTTCTGGCCCGCCGCGGTGCCTCTTCCGTTCCCCTGGAGAGGGGGGTGGCCTGCGATCGCCCGCTGTCAACATCGTGATGAACTCGCAAAAAACAGGTTTTATCCCTTGCACCTGCTTCCGCCCGGTGGACACCTGATGAGGCTGAAATGTTTCATCATTGGACCTCGACCGCATTGGCACTTCACTCTTACTGCATTGTGATGCAGCACTCGGCCGATTTCGCGGATCGGGTACTGTGAATGGGCATGCAATTTGCCATCCTCGTGATGTCGATGATGCGGGAGCGCACACATCGGGTACGAGCACCGCATAGTGACGGGGGCCTCACCAGCCACACCTTGAAGATACTCACCAATGAATGGGCGCTCACCACGGTTGACGGGTGCTAATCATCGCACATTCGTCCACGGGCATGATACGAGACTCGCCGGACTGCAGGTCGCCAGAATGATCCTTGGCCCCGGGTTGTCCAAACAGCCCTCACCGTTTACGATAACACGATGTTGGAAGCAGACGCTCACTCGCTTATGTTGAATGCAATCATGAGGTTAAAAAGGATATCATGACACGAAGCCATTTGGCCAAAGGCTTATTTTCGCGATGTCGAATTCCAATAATCTGCCTTGTAGCCGTTTAGTCCAAGACTTCCATATGAAACGAAAGCGACGAACACCTGTCACAGTGGGTTTATGAAAGTCTCATTTCGGCGCCTAAAATTACACTGGGGAGCAGATACTTAGATCGTATCCGCCGCTAAGTCTGACAAGCTCGATTCGTTGCGGGACGCAGTGACACACCGACAAAGCACTCCCTATCCGAAAGCAACACCGTCTTTGGAACGGAGACTAGCAAGCAAAACACCCATGAAGCGGTCTCGTGGTCCGTTGTGAAGAATGAACAAAGAAAACTCGTTAACAAAAAAATTACTAATTCCCCGCTTACGCCTCTTTCCCTCTCTCTGCAAAAAAGTTTTGTCGCCTTTATGCCGTGAAACTTGGTGGTATGTTGAAACATTTCGATCGTAATGATTGATTTCGATGCAGGATTCTCTTTGGTTTTGTTGCTGGACACTCCCGCTTCTGCTGTCGAAGGAAGCAGGGGGAGTGCTTGTCGCGGTGGACATGTTTACCCATCGCTACATCATGTCGCTATGCAGTTAGCCTTGTGGACAAGGAATTTTCGAATCTTTTCCGAACGCAAAGATGACGTAAAGAGAATGCCCAGAGCGTTGAGCGGCCCTTTGCTGATTTTGGGTCTGGTTGTTTGTCGACTGGTTTTTTACATTGATCTAGGGAGAAACCGTCGCGGTCAGTCTCTCCTAAACCGCTTTCGCTCGGGTCTGATGGCGCGAGGGAGATGGCGTATCGGAAAACGGTCGACGGACTGCGCGCGAACTTTCGTGCTACTGTCTCGCCGGACGAGATGCCACCACCGGCCTCGGCCCAGAAGAATTGTGGAGGTGAAGGTGTGCGGGATAGGAAAACGGTCACAGAGTGTGACCGTTTCCTATCCTCTCCCACAGTTTGCCAGCTCATGAGAAAACAAGGGAAAAACGAGCTGGACGTGACTTTTTCTGGTCTGACTCGCTGTCGCGAACACTGCCCCCCAGCGAGGCCCGATAATCGGTCCCCGCCCGGAATACGGTGATCGCATTACATGACAGAGTTCAACAGAAGGTAGAAGCGCAGGTGGGCAGCAAATGCAGAAAATCTGAATCGCGGCACCCACTGCAGGATTGGGAAACAAAAGCATTGACCAACAAGAAGAGACGGGAAAAGATCCAAGTATAATCGATCGTGAACAGAGAGTGAAAGAAAAGAGGAAATACTCACAGCAATGCCAGCGTCAAATCACCGTGGATCTTGGCCTTGAGCGTAATCTCAATGTCCAAGTTCAAATCAAGTCTCAGCTTGAGCGGGTTCTTGCCCGCGCCGCCACCGCCGCCTTGCATCTGCTGCTGCTGCTGCTGCTGCTGCATCATCTGCTGCTGTTGTTGCTGCTGCATCTGCTGTTGGCGCTGGCGCTGCATCATCTGCTGATTCTGATTGCCGCCCTTTTGCGCGGTGGTGTAGTTGCCATCATCTTCTTCCTCTTCTTGGGAGTCGTAGTCCTCGTCGTCGTCGTACTCTTCGTCGTCTTGCGAGTCGCCAGAGTAGTACTCATCATCGTCATAAACCTCGCCGTCCTCGCCCTCTTCGAATTCCTCGTCGTCGTCGTAGTACTCGCCCTCGCCGTCCTGGAGTTCAGTTGGCTCCTCGAGGTCAGCTTCTCTCTCTGTGCGACCTGAGTCGCGGGAGCGTACCTTTGCGGGCTCTTGTTGCTCCTTTCCTGCGTCGGCAGGCTTCTTGTCGTTGTCGACGACGGACTCTGGCTCCGCTTCGTCTTCGACGCCGGCTTGGTTTGATGAAGGAGCTTGCTTCTTGTCCGTGGTCTCTTGGCCGGGCTTCTGCTGCTCGGGCTTCTTGTCTTTTGATTGCGAGTCGGCGGCTGCGGAAGCGGGGTCTTCGGGCTTCACGTCCTCGCCGGGCTCCTTCTCATCTTCTTGCTGCGATTGCGTCTTATCGTCCGTCTTGGCGGCCGCATCTTCGGGCTTGCTGTCTTCTTCGGCCTTCTTCTCATCGGTGGTGTTGGTGGGGTTACCCTCGCCCTCTGCGGGGTTGCCGAATTCTCCGACTGGTGTGGTGCCCTCGGGCTTCTGCTCTTCCGTCTTTTGGTCGAGCGAAGACTGCTGCTGCTCAGGTTGCTGCTCTTCGGGCTTGGTCTCCTCGGGCTTGCTGCTGTTGCTTGGCTGGTTCTGGTTGCCGGCGGCGCCTTGGCCTTGGCCCTTCTACGCACCTCATGATCAACATACTGACTTGTGTATGTGAGTTGAGTAACTGAGAAGCTTACCTTGTTCTTGTTTCTGGCCATTGTGTCCGAGTCCATTAATCTGACGGGGGTGGTTTGGTGGTATGTGGAAACGAGAACCTCTCAATTGCCTTTCAGTTGAGATTCTCTAGTGTGAAGCTATTCAGATGATGTGGGTATAGCGCGCGGTGTGGTAATTATGAGTGGTGTAAGTGTTCCCCTCCAAAAAGTAAAAGAGATCACAATGAGTTTATTCAGTAAAAGATGGAGTTCCTTCAAAATTGGAAAGGAAAAAGGATCATCTAGAAGAGGTGGGAAAGCTAGGTACACAGGTCTGGTATAAGTTAAATCGGATGCCATGAGAAGTCATTACCTCACACCCCTCCACCCCTCTCAATGGCATCAAACAGGAATTTCTGCACAGGGACAGCGAGGCTGAACCTGAACCGCAATCCGGATCTGCTTCTCCTGTGACGCAATAGGGTGTGAATGTGGGAACATGACTTACACACACCTACGCCAGTTCACGGGGATAGACTGGAGGGGGGGAAGGTGTGGCCAGGGCCCCGGTGAACAGGCACGTTTGGATTGGGAAAAAGGGGACCCAGCAAAAAGTTGGGCAAGAAAAAAAGTGGCATGGGCGGGATGAGAGAGGCGACGGGTTACAATCGAACAGGTCTGGAACCTCTTTCCAGACCCAGAGGGAGAATGTCACTGTTTGGTAATAACACTGGGGAAAGGATACAAGGGGGGACAACACGTGTAGACTTGGACCCGCCGCTGTGATATCACATTCGACACAGGTTTTGGATGAGAATCAAGATTTTTTGTCCTTCTCTGGTGCTTAGTAGCGGCAGTCCGAACTCCCAATGGGTTCTGGTCGTCTCTCTAGGAAGCTCCAGGTATGGAAGAGAGGCCAACCTGCATACAGCCCGTCTTTCCCGATCGGCAGGGTCCCTAGAGACAAAGAAGAAGGGGAGGGGGAGGGGGGTGTGTGAGACTTGCTTCGGCAGAAGGCGAAAGGGAGCTAGGTAGCTGTCCAGCAATAACTGTGGACAAGTTGCCAGCACCAGTGAATAATCAGCAACGAGAGGGAAAGAATGAGGAGAGAAAAAAAAAGAAAAAAAGGATCAGGAGTGACGTCGACGGGCTGGGACCCGAAAGACGTGCTCGCACCGTGGTTGGTTGAAACTCAGCTTTATGCCGCGTTGCGAGAGAGAAGAGCTTTCGGGAGCTACCCCGGTCGATCATGTTCGAAAGGTCTAGCGTGAGTGGAGGAGCGAGGAGGAGCCTAGGAGAAGGAGGGAGGGATCTGAAAGTCAAAGCAGACGAGGCCCGAGTGTACTGCAATCCTCTCAAGAGAATGACGTCGATGGGGCGTGGGTGTATGTAAAGTCCAAAGTCGTTGTAAATGTATCAAAGTATCGAACAGCAAAAAGAATGGAGTATGCAAGAGAACAGCGAACGGTCTAGACATGCATATTGTGGACCAACAGACACACACACACGCATTGGGTGTGGGCTGACCCCGGACAGGGGTACCCGAAACGGGCATCTCGATCCAGGCGCTGGCGCACGCGGTCCACAGACTTTTTGCAAAGGAAGAACGTGAGAGAGATACCTAGAGAGAGAAAGGAGAGGGGATATTCGAAGGCTACATTACCGTGCAGTGGCCGCTAGACCAACCAGCCCAGACCTCCCATGCCTGCCAGCCACCCCTCGCCGCGGGGAGTCGAGAGGAGGAGGAGGAGGATGGGGAGGAGGAGAGACAAGAGGGACAGGCCTTTCGATATGATGACCACACGAACCCCATAGAACAAACCCCGTAAACCTGTTTCTTCTGAAAATCCATCAAAGAAGCACAGAAGATCTCTCGGAAGCCTCCCCTTTGAGACAGTGACATACCAGTTATCGATCTTCAGGACTCCAGAACCAGAGGGCAGCTCGGCCCCGAACCACGTCGCAACGATCATTGCAAATCCGTTGATCCATACTACACACGACGCGCCGCGGCTTGACCCCACGGCTTGGACCCAACTGACATTTCCGAGTCCCGACACGACACAACACTCACACCGAACCTCGAGTCGTCGATAGACAACGGCGAGGCTCTAAGGAAACTTTTGACTCCTCGACTCTTCGACTCTCACTCACTTGAGCTCGTCCCCAGTGCCCACTCTCACTCTCGAAAAGGCCAACATCTCCCACCGCCCAAGTCACTCACCCCGGATTTTCGTCCCTTGATTTCCACTTTACCCTTCCTGTCTTTACTAGTCCTTTGCCTCGGAAAACAATTCGAAACATGGTGATCGGTCTGCTCGCCATCGCCGCCATACCCACAGTCATTGGCACCGGCCAGGCCGTGAGCGCTCAGAAGAAGCAGAATGCCGCCTCCAAAGAACAGGCCAAGTTCAGCCTCACGGCGACCATGACCATTGACGGCAAGAGAGAAGAGTGTCCATGTATCGTCGTCGACAACAAGGTGAGCAAGCCCACAAACCGACAGCCAACAGCCCACATCCAACACCCTTCACCCTCCCTCTCGATCGCCCATCGACCCCCCTTCCCACGCCTGCAGACATCTGCACGCTCTCTCTCCCCCCCCCCCCTCTCTCTCCTTTCCTTGCTTTTCTCTTTTCTTCGTCTCCCTTTGCGGAGGTTGGCACACCCACTCGGCCAACCTTGCCGCGTGTTTTGACTTACACTAGCTTCCTCGCCAACTTGAAAACCTTGCTTCACATCTCTAGTAGACTAACACCCACCTCCTCCCCGCAGATATGGATAAATCATAGTCTGGCACCAGCTCCAGGGCACAAGTTTTCAGGGTATTACTTCAACTACCCCAGCGAACCGCCAATGCGTGCCCTGGTATCAACGATAGCGGAAGATCCGCCCATGTTGAACTGGATCTATGTCGACGCTGACAGCAGAGCGCTCCGCCATGGAGGCCGCAAAGATACCCTAGGCCATGTTATAGGACCTTGGGGCTGGAGTGAAGATGAAAAGTTCCTCTCACTACGAGGTAGCGGGCTCGGCTTTGTAGCCGTGCTGGAGGAGGACGGCAGGTGGGCTGCATATTGGGATCCGGATGGGCGGTTGCGGGAGGGCTATGATCCCGAGGACTGTATGGAGATAGCTCTCAAGCGGCAGATGGCGCTAGGCATTGAAAGCGCCTACGTGAAAGGATAGGCGAGCCAGATCATCTCGAAGAATAATTTGGGTGTGTCAAATTTTGGAATAATCCGGGGGGAATTCCAGGAGTCTCGGAGCTTTGGGAGGGACGTGCAATTAGAACAGGTCCCGAGGCGTTCTGCAGCTTGCAAGGATAGGAATAGTTGGCATCTGTAACCCGTGAGCCCGTACATCGTCAGTGCATAGCATTCAGCAAGCTTGCAAGCTCAAACCAACTTACAAGAAGCTTGTTTGGTTGCAGGAATAGAGTAATGCTGCGTCATGCCTGCATTGGCGGCACCCGTGATCGCAAGTCCGTGGTGCGAGTCCTGATAGTGCATGATTGGGTGCAAGCCAGCCATAGTTGCGCGTTGAATCCGAAAAGAACAGGGATGCCAGAACACCATCTCGACCTCTTTGGTGTTTTTTGGGAGCCCGGGATGTGTTGGGTTGGGTTGGCCGCGCTTCCTCCTCGACGGCACAGGCAGATCGGGGACGCATCGAGCATGAGACAAGACCAGTGCCCCAGCGGCCCCAGTGAATCCGCCCCCCTCCCTCTCCGCACACATGCCGCTTGGCCCTCTTCAACGTCATTTCGGTCCAGAACATCGAGAGTCGAGTGGTGTGACGCAAATCCAGAAGGGGTGAGAGCAGTGAAAGACGGGAATCCTGGATGCCCCAGGGTCCAACATGATCTCATCAGCTGGAAGGGGTGTAAGCTTTCACATCCTGTTTTGACCCCTTCCGGATACTGTCCGGAATCACTTATATGTTGCGTCCTCATCCAGAGTCGATGAACAAGAACAGACTTTGAAGAAACACTCCAAACTTACCGGTAGACAAAAAGTCCTTAATATCAGTTCTCCCTTCCTTCACAACAGGAAAAGTCCATTAGCCCATCCTTGAACTATCAGCTTCATCGTTCCACATCAGTCACAATGGCCTCCCCCCGCGAGAAGAACAACACCAAGTACGCCTCCGAGGACGAGACTTCGGAAGCACCCAGCGAGCAGCAAAAGCCCCAGCGCCGCCAGCGCCCGCAACGCAGGCAGATGCAAAGACGTCAGCAGCAGCAGTCAAGCGGCCCTCTCGACAACCTCGGTGGCATTGGCGATGTCGGCGGCGTGACCAACGGCGTGCAGAACACCCTAGGCAATGTCGCTGGTGGTGCGCTGCAACAGCAAGGCGGCGGCGGTGGTGACAAGAGCGATACCCTTCGGTTGCGTCTTGATCTCAACCTCGACATTGAAATCACGCTGAAGGCACGCATCCACGGTGACCTTGAGCTGGCTCTCTTGTGAGTACCATCCTTTTCTTTGTCTTCCCTCTTCCCCTCCACAGTTACGGCGGCCCTCCCTCTTGTCTGCGCTAGGTAGAGCTCCGTTGCGTCCTCGCTTCTTACTCGCAGGCAAGCACGGGCTAGTTAGTAGCTTGTAGCCAAGTTCAAGATGGGCTAATGGGCTTTACCTCGTCTTTTAATCAGGAACTGAGAGACGTTTTCCACAGGGACCAATCTTAAAACGACAATCTTCTCGTCAAATTTCTTTACAACATGGAGTCGCGGGTTTGAACAGTGGGCGAACTGCTTTTCGACCCAGTCTGATGGAATGTGTGGGTTTCTTTTTTATCGCCCGTTTTTACCGCCCAACCGTAAAAAGAAACGGTTGGGCTCAGCAAGGGTTCGAGGAGTTGGTGGACGGATGAGATATCGGGATCCATCTGCCGCGTGTATTATGAAAGATTTGTGCATCATCGACATCATGAGATACGGACGCTATTTCGGGAAGTTTTATGAGTATCCTATTCGACGTTAGCCAAAGCATTCTAAACAGTTCTTTTAACGAATGATACTTGACCAAGACCAATCACATGTCCAGACGCTGAGCCACCGGTGATATGTTCCCACTCACGCGGCACCTCACATACTCATTCACTCACCTCCCTCACTAAGCTGTCACTCATTGATATTCTACAGGGCCCGAGAATGCCAATGATCCCAAGCCTTAACATGACTGCGAATCAACTCGTTTGGCAAATTAGCGCGTGTCGTTGGTTTCAGCACACCATCAATGCCCTCAGCCACTCGCTAAGTGCCAAGCTCGTGTGGAGTAGCGTCGAAAAACAGGCAGAACCATGTGTTGTGACAACCGCCGTCAAGCACGCCTCGGGGCGGAGACGGTGGCCAGCAACCGTTCGTAGCGCCAATTTCCATTAGCCTCCGTCTGTTTCACGCTTCACGTCTGGCGCCATTGATCTCGGTGACGGGGCAAATCTCCAATGCGACGGTGGGGGGCTCTCCACCCACCCAGCGTGCCAACCGGCACAATCAGCAGTGCAGCTGCCCATTCCTTCCAGAGGCTAGTGTCATCGGGAGCGCATTACGAAGATGTGGCAGCGTCGGCTGGAGGACCTGGAAGAAGTGGCTGGATACGCAGTTGGAAATCGACGGCGCCAGAGACTACTGCACACAATGCTCGCTGTGCCTTGCTTTCCATGATCGTTTCTCCTGGGCTTAACTAGCGTTAGTTTCTTCTGCCCAGAGACAACGCATTCAAGATTTGATTGTCCTGACGGGATCATGCTGGGATCCTGACTTCATTTCGCGTCGTCAAAAGCGCTCACCGAGACATGAGAAAGAAGGGAAAAGGAGGATAAAAACCTTAGAGTTTAACCGGTCGATGTCAATGGTCAAGCCACAGAGCGGCTTCGGTCTTCCCTGTCCGTCCAATGTTGACGCAGCGAAACCGCCACATGATGCGATGTAACTCGGCCCAGGATTGAGTTGGTGTGTGAGTGAGTCGTCCTTTTTGGTTGCCCGCCGCCAAATGTAACGGTGGAACGGCCCCCCCTTGCGCCCCTCTCAAAGTCTCCCCACCGCTCCTCAATTCTCGATGCCACCTCATATCCGTAAAAGAAGGCCCGGTAAACGGTATCCACAGTACCGTCTCGACTTTATGTGGCGGAGGTGTTCATAATAGTATGGAATACGGTCTAAAACGCTAGACGTGCAGGGTAGTCGTGGCTGAACGGGAAATTCTTGCGTCGCATCCCGGCGCATCGGGTGGGAGCATCAGCCACTCACGTTCAACGTCGTCCTGGTCGCTGTGAAAATGTCAGTCAAGCGATCTTCACCAGTCTCAATCGTCAAGCCACCTGCCGACAAACGTATCGCGCCGATCGTACTGCCTCCGTCTCATTTCCAACGGTCTGGACTCTCGTCGACTTTCTTCTTCTTCGCCTCTTTGCATCTCATTGCCCCTTCAGGCTACCATCGAGATCATCCTTCGCCAGCCTTTGTCGGTTGTGGCGTTGACGGCACGCGGCCTTCGTCCATGGACAAACTCGAGACGTCTCTGAAGGTCTGCTGAAGCTGTTCGGGCATGAGGACCAACCCGAACTTCTGATGAAGCTGATTCCTCTTACTGTGGCACCCAGTGCTCCCCCTTGATCAATCATAAGCCACAATATGAACTCTGATTGTCTCGGCTGGGTCAGTGTCCAGGACCTCCTCCAGAGTCTGTGGTCGGTGTGTGGTCGGTAAGCTCGAAGCTTCCTCTGGGTCAAGTGAGGACCCCCGGACTGCCATCAACCCAGCTGGAATTTCGAATAGCGTCGACGCACGTGTATCTAGGCTTAGGCTCGCTCACCGTGCTCTTCAGCAACAGTTGACGGCTAGCCGTGCGTTCCGTCTGTACAGTAGCTCAGGCGCCAGCCTAACCATGCAGCATCACGGCCGTTCGCACAGTCGTTCGTGTTTCGATGGAAAACAGGCTTTTCCAGACTTGTCGGACCTTTTGCTTCCAATCTCAGTGCTCTTCCGGCGCCATCTTCGGAGTCTTGCCTCGTTCTCATTCTGCCATCTTCACCACCCGCCAGCGATCCCTCCCTCTCGTGCTTCTTCGCATGCCGTTTCCGAAGTACCCGGTGGAGACATTTGCGTGTATCTGGAGACACTGTGGAGTCGACAGATCTCGGTTCGACAAGTCCTTGAACCCAACCATCCTTGCACAAGAAGCCTGACAAGGAGTCAACGTGAACCGTCGCCCCGTTCGCCAGTTCTGGAACCCCAAGGCTGCCCCAGTTATCAATCTCGGCAGACACAAGACACAACCCACTCTCGATCTCGTCGTCGACCTGACGTCACAACGACTCAGCCAACCCCCTTCTGCCTTGCAGGCCTTGCAGAAGCGCTGCCCGCGCCCCGCGAACAGTCAGAAAACCTCTGCCCGCGTGTATCGACCAAGGGGTGCACTGAGAGAAACGCCCTCACGCGCACTCGACAGCAACACCGAACGCCGTCCCTCCTCACTCCTCACTCTTACTCAACCGCCGCCCAGACTCTCTGAAGCAAGCAGGCCGATCGATCCTCAGGTGGGTTGCCGGCTCTCCATTCCTTCGCACAGCTGGCGGTCCTTGCCTCGCTTCCCATTCCCTTCCCTTTCCCCTCTCTTTGACAGCAAGGCCTAGCTGACGCGGAACGTTCTTCTCCCACAGAATCATCCAATGATGACGGCGTCCCCTCCTGCTCAGCAGACTCCACTCCAAACTCTCCGCGACGAACCCGACAGCCCTGCCTCGAAGTCGCCTGCACAGCAATCTATGCAGAGTCCCGTACCTGCGCGCGCGGAATCCTCGTCGCACACTATGCACCATACCGAGCCACGACCTGCGGCTGGAGCCGGCGATCATGACCATACTTCCCGGCATGATGAGTATGAAGTTGTCGAGGTCGAGGATGGCCAGGCTGGAATGGAAGAGGCCCCCAAAGGCACCTTCTCACGCCCGCCTCTGCCTCGTCTGAACTCTCAGTCGCGGACAGCTTCTTCGCCGGCGCATTACCATGAAACCGCTCCTCCGCAGTATCCTCATCGACAGGTTAGCTACACGAGCACCCCACAACCGGAGCAGGGCGGGCCTGTCCACCTGCAGGGCTCGCGGGAGATACCTATCCCAATGAGGCCATCGTCGACACAATATCAAACGGGTCCCGAGGTATCAACGCCGCCGACAACCGAGACCACAGACAATGGCACAGACGAAGGCTCGCAAGATGCCAAACCATCGTCGCAAGGCACCCCGAAGCCACAAGAGAAGAATGCTCCGATCGCGATCCCCAAGATCACGCCTCTTTCTTCAGACCTCAGG